CGTTATTGTACATAAATTAAATTAAAAAAAATTGAATTAAAAAATTACACAAAAAGTGAGGAATTTCAAATAGTTAATTTGATACTAATATCGATATTTTTGTCAAATTTTTATGATATCTTCAAACATATATTTTATTCAAAAATAAAAAATTATCGCTTTCTCAAAATCACATAAAGMCATATTATAACATCGACTGAGATAAAAAATAAAATAAAATATTAAAATTACGATGTATCTCGCTGCATTGCGCGGGTACGCTTCTAGTTATATAATAAAACATTTAATAGAAACTCTTAAAAACCATTTTTTATGTATGAAGTACTGTTTATTGATGAATATTACTTAAAATTCAAGATTACAAGTAATTTTACGTAAGTATAACTTATTAAAATTCCATTTTTAAATTCGTGTAACTAACTGCAGATATATAAACATAATCAAATACATGATAAACATCTATTTTAAATATAGATAATCTAAAATATAATTAAGACAATAATTGAGTTCTAACAGAATGTTTAATTATTATTTTTATAAAAAAATATATTGTTAAACCAAAAATAAATTACTTTGTTATTAAATCTAAATTAAATTGTAATAAAAAAATCGAATTAAAGAAGTTACACAAAAAAACGAGAACTATTAAATAGTTAACTTGATACTAATATCGATTTATCTTTTTAAAATTTTTATGTTATATTCAAATTTATATTTCATTCAAAAATAAAAACATTATCATATTTTCTCAAAACCACATAAAACCGTATTATATCGATAGAGATAAAGAATTACAAATTAAGCATTAAAATCAAGATTTAATTGTGCGAGTACCCTTCTAATTAATTACTTACAAAAATAAAAATTAAATCAACAGTCGACATTGGAAAACAAATATAGTCGAATTATATATATGCATACCGATGATATTTGAATTTTCGTATTTCTATATATATTTGATGGACGACATGATTAAGGTTTAACAATCCATTGATTATATAAAAAAGTGAGAGCTTTGATGCCTAACATTTTCAAGAAAAGTTGTTGGAATCACTAACAATTCTATATATATATTATAATTCTGCTGATTGGCATTGATTAAGAAATTAACAGGCGAAATGCAGACATCAACACTCTCGATTAACACCACGATTATAGATTTAGATGAGGAAATCTTTTTATTTGATATTCGTTTTATCTGTTCTTTTCCCAATAATCAGATCACTTAAATCAGCTTAATAATGGAGTATTTCAACCTGGATCATACTTAATCATACCATCTTCATAAAGATTCTCTTTTGAATTATCAGATTAAATATACAAAAACTTTCTTCTGACTTAATAGTATTTGATCGAACCCACAAGCAGAAATTAAACCTAATTGCAAACTTGATCTGGGCTTAGCTCAACTTGTTTGTATTTTGGCTTATAAGTTCGTTATTGGTCTACTTAGTTACCTACTAAAGTGGGAGTTCGGTGGCGAAATCAAAAGTTCGGCTGCACACGAACCCGTCGATCGAGTTCAACTGGCCAATTAATCCCCTAATCGTATCTTGCTGATTGTAGCTTTTTTCTATATAGTAATAATTACATACAAATTTAGAACTAATTGTGGGGAATAGTTACACACTTGACAGTTTAATTAAACTGAATTCCACCTTTACATATTGTTTAAACTTTGAAGTCCAATTATATGGGATTTGTACAGAATGAAATATTATGATTACTTGCTTGTTTTTGACCATGCAATCAAACCGAGAAAAAGGGTTTGTGTTGCAATCAAGAAAAGAAGGCCTCAGGGAAAAAGAAAAAGGAAAAGAGAGAGAGAGAGAGGGAGAGAGAGAGAGAGGGGGAGAGAGAGAGATTGTGCGCTGTGAAAAATGCCATAAGTTCGTTAAAGGGTAGTCAATTCAATATAAAAGGGTGTACTGCTTAGTTTGAAGTGATTGAAACCTAGTTTCTTGATTCGGATGCATCCTGTAGTAAATTATTAAGTGGCCGTTTACCTAAATACTTACATGGTAAACGTTTAACGGTAAAATTCAACTTTATCGCTTACTTATCGGGTAAGATTTTAGTCTAGCAAAGCAACAATATATGTAAGAATTTACCCGGTAAGCGCTAACCATGGTAAGAGTCGTCGCCATCACTTACAGGGTAAGACTCTCGGTCATTGCTTTCACCTTTACCAGGTAAGATTATTGGTCTTTGTCATATTCATCCGGTAAGGAAATCGATTTGGTAAACGCTTACCCGAGTAGGAATTACGTAAACGGCCAATGTTAAATTAATGAAGTAATTATAAAATTTAAGTTTGTAAAATGTTCAACCTAATTAATTAAAATGTATAATCCTTTCAAAAATTAATTATAAATTGCAACTTTTGGTTGTTTAATTAGGACGGTTAATTTGAACATTTAACTAGCTATAATCGTGTTCGAGTTTAGCATATTCTAGAGTTCGAGTCATTCTCGAACACAAAACAAAGTTCATTTAACTTAACGAGACGAGTTTTACAAAGTTACTTGATTAAAATTTTCTAGTAAAGCTAAGTCATACGAGCATTTTTTAGCCAACCATGTTTGTATGTTCATATATTCTACAACAAAGAATATGAGCTCGAGCCAATAACGAGTTATAATCGACCTCAATTTTAAGCTTTTTTTTTAAAATGAGTTTATAGAACTTGAATTTTAAATCATATTGAGCTTATGAATGAACATTAAAAATATTTCCAAGCTCGAGCTGAGTTCATGTTTTAGTATCATCTTTTGGAGTTGATTTCGAACAATCTGTTACTTGATCTGAATTGTCTCGAATTAGTGATAGTACAAAAGTACTTGCTCACAAATGTATGCAGTTTGTTCAACGAAGATCAATAAAACAATAAATTGTAATTATAACAAAATATATATATATATATACATAGGGTTGGGTTCACGTGAGACCTGCATGTTTTCGTGAGACCACATTTTTACACGTAAACTTCACAACAAAAACACTGTGAAGGTTAAAAAAAAGTCGAACATTCACAGCAAAAACACTGTGCAGGTTAAAAAAAGTCACATTCACAGCATTTTGCTGTGAAGTTTCAAGTGTAAAAAGTTGGTCTCACAGGTCTCACAAAAACATGCTGGTCTCACATGATGCCAAGTCTCTCTCTCTCTATATATATATGGCTCATAAACATATATTTCTTTAAAATATCTAAAATAATATAATTATTTTAGGAAGGAAATGTACTGTGATTTACTTAGCCTTGATGAGAATGTGCAGCAAGAGCCTCCTACAGATTTCCAGTTTATGAAATTATTATTACGTAAGAGCCTTTATCCCACCACCATCATGCCACCTTACATTGCATAGAAGACAATGATATTTCTCTCTCTCACACACATACACTTTACATGCATATGCATATATGCATATATCACACACACACACACACACTTTAATCTCTCTCTCTCTATTATATATATATATTCTCTTTTTCATGCATGCACATATAGATATATAGTATGTATGTATATTATGCATGGAGGGGTCAGAGGTCTCTTTTTTACCCGAGCACTAAGATGCAGTGTGTCACAGAGTGTCACTCTGAGAAAGCTTAAAGGCTAAGAAACTTCGTCCACTCACTCCCAAAACCCTAATTATAATAATAAATACAAAAAGAGATAACCAAAAATTTTGAATAAAAATAAAAAGAAAATTTAAGCAAAACAAAAGCCTCTTCTTTTTATCCTTCCCTCTCCCTCTCCTTCCCATTAATTTCTCCTTTCTCTGTGTTTTATTCTCTTGTTTTTGATTCCCCACCCCCATATATTTCCAAAAAAACCCTTGAAACCTTTCTAAAAGAGAAAAAGAGAGCCTCAAATTTAAATCATGGTTTTCTCATCTGTTCCACCCTATCTTGATCACCACAATTGGCATCATCAGGTATGATCTTTAAGACTCTCCCTTCCATGGATCATCAATCTTTCTTATTTTAATTGGTTCTTCATCCAATCAGATATAAAGGAAAAGCTTTAGGTAGAAAAGATGATATATGCTCATTCGTATTCCTCTTCAAATCTCTTCTTGAATATACCATGATCTTTTCTCCTTTCTTGGTTTCTTTTTTGTGTTGTTTTTTCAGTTGCAGCAATCAAACCATCAAGGAAGTGGAGGTGTCGGCGGTGGCGTTGGCGAAAACCCTAATCTTCCACCCCCACCACCACCTCCACAGCCTGGTGGTGGTGGGGGAGGTGGAGAAGGATCGATCAGACCAGGATCTATGGTGGATCGAGCTAGGTTAGCCAAGCTGCCCTTGCCGGAGCCAGGTCTAAACTGCCCACGTTGTGATTCCACCAACACGAAATTTTGCTACTTCAACAACTACAGCCTCACGCAGCCTCGACACTTTTGCAAGACCTGCAGGCGTTACTGGACTAGAGGAGGTGCTTTAAGAAATGTTCCGGTAGGGGGAGGTTGTAGGAGAAACAAAAGAAGCAGCAAAAGCAGAAGCTCGAAATCTCCAAGTCAATCGGGGCCTAAATCCCAAAGTGCAAGTCCTCCAAGGAGTAGCTCAGAGAACATGACAAGTAATCAACTCCCACATCCACCTTCGCTTCACTTGCCCTTCATGAGTTCTCTTGGTCAATATGGAGGTGTTGGTGGCAATCTTAGCTCAAGTATTGGGGGATTTCAGCCTCAAAGTGAAATGGGAAATTTTCAAATTGGAAGTGGTAGTTCAGGTGGCAATAATTTCAACAACATTTTATCAATGGGAGGGGGTGAGAATTGGAGAGTGCCTTTCCTGCCTGGATTTGAGGTACCCAACAATAATACCAATCTATTTAACTATCAGAATGAAGGTGTGATTGAAGCACAATCTTCTTCTATGGTTGGAGGAGACATGAGATTAAAGAGTTCAGGAATTGATAATTCTCAAATTGATCCCCCAGTAAAGGTGGAAGACAATCGAGCCCTAAATTTATCAAGGCAGTTTTTGGGTATGTTGGAAAACACCAATCAACAACCATGGGCTGGAAATTCATGGGCAGAATTTCCTGGTGTCAGCACTTCTACTCCCACTACACATTTCCTATAATCTTGGGCTTAGGGGAAGATTCATGGTTCAATGTTGCTTGTTATCAAAGTGATTTAACTTGGATTTTCAAACCCTAGCTAATTCCTAGCATGTAATATGGTCAATTAATTAAAGATTCCACGTCTCAACGAGCTTGATCGCTGAAGAACTGCAGGAGAATCAATGGTAGGTATACATTGTGTTAAGTTCAATTAATGTGATAGTATTATATGGTGTTGGTAAATTCTATTGATGTGTATGCGAGTTTTCTTGTACTTGGAAAGTGTTTCTTCACCAATGTGCGTGTAAGTGTGTGCTACTATGTTGATTATGCTATATGACTGATGATGATCAGCTGATTTTTCCATGGACACAGTACTCTTTTCAACCTTTTCCTTTATCTTATCTGGATCAAGAATGACAGCCTTGCTGCCATTATATTCAGTTATTATAAGTACGTATGTATGCGTATCTATATATATTGGGTAGTGATGCCTTTGACAAATCACAACAAATGTGTTCGATGCGCTGAGTTTGGTTTGTGCAGCAATTAGTATCTATACACTAATAATGTATTCATATGAGTTTGATTTTGTATGTTTATGGAAGATTCTCGAGAAAAATGATGAATTCTATAAAGACTTTGGTTGGTAAAGTGGCCTTCTTCTTGTTCTATAAAGAACAAGAAAGGTATACTTGAGATGGTAAAATTCTTAGATTAGCTCATTAATTTTAGTAACCAAATCTTGGTCTAATATTTTTTTGTCTTCTGTTACTTATATATATTATGATGGATGTTGAAAGTTCATGTCTCCTACTTCATTCCTCAATACTGTTATTAATCAAAATACATATAGCTAGAAATGAAAAACATATAACTTGCATTCCTATTTTTAGCGATGAGATTGGTGACATTAATTTTGTCCTAAGTCGTATATTGAAACCATGATCACTTTGTTTTGTAGTCTGCAACGAAAGACATACTGCATGCATACAAAGCGTCCCTCGATCCATACCCATACAAAGCTGGATGTATAACCTTTAATCGGTGCACTAGGATTCGCGGGATTGATCATCATCAATCAATTAAGAAGATATGTGTATTGGTCATGATTTTTCAATGATAAGATGTATTAATACTGGATAGTAGCAAGGGTTGTTGATGTATTATATCAAAGGGAAGTTGAAAAAGCAATATGTTGGTTGAAGAACTGTTAAAAAAGATCAAAAAATCTACCAAAACAGGCAAATTTTCAACCTTAATCAATCTCTACATATGTTTAAGAAAGAGAGGGAAAAGAGAGATAGATGTTAATTAATTAATGATGAGTGATTATTAGTTTCAAAAACAAAATGTATATATATATATATATGTGTGTGTGTGTGTGTACATGGTCTTGTTTGCATCTTGAGTGCCTTCTTTATCACATCCGTGTGTAGAAAAAGCAAAAGATTGTATAGTTTGATGGCAAATCTTCCACCCTCATAATTACTTAAATTAAAGTGAAGGAGTAATCTTTGAAAATAGATGGGGGAAAAAGAAAAGAAAATGTGTTAATGAAAGTGATTTTTGCAGTCTAAAAAGAAAGGATTCTGGCAAGCTTAGATTGTTGCTTTATTGAAAGGACCAACAAGCCACACAGCACTCCTCCCCCAATAAAGCTTTATACACCCAGCCCAACCAAATCAACAACTCTCCAACCCCTTAATTGTATATAACCAGTAGATCTAGAGAGAGAAAGAGAAGTAGAGAGAGAGAGAGAGAGTAAAAGAAAAGGTGGTTGAATGGCTGCAGGTTGGCTCTGGCTCGGAAAACCATGGAGTGGTTTTTGGTTTGGTTGATCTAACTGTGTATGGTTAAGATTGGTTTTAAGGACATGTAGATCGTGTAAGAATTTCTTGACTCACGTGAAAGTTTGATCCTTTGAGTTGTATATACAAATATGTTCTCTCTTGCTTTTGTTAATTTATTAGCGACAAAGATTCAAATTAGCTTTATCATTTTTCCCTTCTTTAACGACACATTCTACTTATAACTTAATGGTAATATTGTTTATGTGGTCCTGCACCCTTTTATCATTAAAAGGCTTCATATTATGAATCTTGATTTTTTTGATGATGGTGGAGACCCCTCCAGATCAAGCAAAAACACTAAAAAACACAAGACAAATACGCATTCGGGTGGGGGCGAACTACAACCACCAGAAACAGTCAAGGAACCCCGAGAGAGGAGGGAAAAGAAAAGCCGACCACAAGGGAAGGGCCCAGGGAGGCAAGACCTGAGCAAACAACAGGGAATTATGAATCTTGATTTTAACCCATCTTACACCTAAATAAGTGGCATTTTAAACACCTTGGACACTTATCAAAGGTTAATTTAGAGCGTGTGCGTGTTAAGCAAGGGTCGTAATCTAGCTTGTTTAATTTGTCTACTAACACCATATTCGTTTGTCTGCTTAATTGATGGCTAATCAAGACACTCAGTTGGCTTATGAGTGTTAGGGTTTTTATGTTATGAAACATGAGAAGTTGAGCTTTGTATTGGGTATACATACATACTTGATATATGTGTGTGAATATATATATATATATATATATATCGAATTAGGGCTGTCTCTTAGCATGTTAAATGTTAGATTTTGAACAGGGCCTCCGAAAATTTGGAGTCCAAATTTACATGTGTTTAGGGTCATTTTATCGACTTGTATAAAACTATACGCAAAATTATCTAGGTTTAAACCATTAATTGTTTGGCTTTAGGTTTAAATTATCAATGGTTTAGGTCTAGTTTCAGATTGTTAATCGTTTTAGGTTTAGCCCATCTTTGTTCTTAACATATATTCTCTGTTATCTCATTTATGCAATGTAATCAAAAGTTCTGGATGTAATATGACCTCCAAAAAGATTGGAACGTCCCTCTATCGAAGAAACATGTATATATGAACCTTTGGGCTTCTGTACAACATATGAATCACAGCTTTGGTTCCACCAAATGGGCTGGATAGTTAGTCTGAGTACGTAATTAGAAGTGAGTTGAACTAGCAACAAGAGTACTAGCTAGTTTCTGTACACTTAATAGTTGTACTCAATTCTACGCATCTGCATTCTCTCTCAAAGCAAAAAGGATGCTACTTTCTGCATCTTAGGTGAAATTGATGGGGTGTAGTCGGCCACTACACAAAGACGAACACTCATATCATCGGTGGAGGAAATTAAAGAGCTTTTTTGTAGCCACACCATTGTTGTTGCAGAAAGAGTAACAGTTGGTAAAAAACAATTAAGTTAGTTTCTGGGCTGAATGAAGTAGCAGATTTTGTGGCTCAGATGATTATCTTCTAAATGTAAATGGGCATTAAAGAGGCCTCACTTCTTCAGATTATTAGTCTACATATGAAAGTAGTATGTTCAGGATCTTTAAAAACCTATTCCTAATTATTAAGAAATGTACAGTTAATGATAATATGCTAGGGTTGGGTTCCTTAAGAAATACCCTTTTCATGAGAAATTTAATAACCTTCACATAATATAATGTAAACTTAATGTGAAACTTATGAATATATATATATATATATATATATATATATATATATATATATATAGGTGGAGGTTCAAACGAGAACCCCCTGTGATTTACGAGAATGCGAGAACAACCCAATAACCTCAAACTTTTTTAATTAATAAATTAACTTTTATTACATATAAATAATTTAATAAGGACAATAATGTAATTAAGTAATTTTTATAATTTTTATTTTATTTTAATTAACCATAATTATTATTTCACGTTCCACGTTTTACTCTTGGTAGTTATCTTCTTCTTCTCGTTAATATCTTTTCTTCATATCACACATCTATCACATAAGTATCACACTCATATCATATGATTATCACACCCATATTATATGATTACACCAAAATTTTAACTWVTCAACMAAAACGATAACCCAAGTGATGTATAACAGTGATTATCACACCCTTATCACATGATTATCACACCCAAATCACATGATGACACCAAAATTTTAACTTATCAACCAAAACGTTAACCCAAGTGATGTATAATGGTGATTATCACACCCCTATCACACTCATATCACATGATTATCACATCCCTATCACATGATTACAC